TTGTTTTAAAACTTTTATGTGAACTGTTCATTCCAAATAAAAACTCTGGTTAACTATACTGCACTATGGAGGCTGTTTCTCTCTCTTAAATCCCTTCTGAATCATCACCGAGACGGGGAGACAAATATAACAGCAACTGGCGAGCGGAAGGAGCCGGGTTCTAACGGGACTCCGTGCAGCACGAAGGGCGAGGTTACCTGGGGTCATCCGCCATATTGCCGGGGAATCCTGCATACATCAGTGAGCCAAGGAACCTGTATCACAGCTACTCAGAGAAGCTTGCGGTCCATACACCATCTGTTCACATCGTGGACTGAAAAAACTCTTTTACGTTTTATATATTGTATATACGTGGACATCGTGGACTGAAAAAAACTTTTTACGTTTTATATATTGGATATACGTTTTATATATTGGTCTACCTCTTTTTTATCTTTGGATTTGCAACATAATTTTGAGTGTTATATTTGCTTCACTGTTTTCACTGCTATCTTTTCACATATTTATGAATTATTTTTATCGAATGGTTAATGAATTTTTACATTTTTATAGTTCATTTTGTTAGACTTAGTTTTAATAATTTATAGTGGGTTATCTTGTTATACTTAGCTTTAATAATTCATAGTGGGTTATCCTGTTATATTTATTAATATATCCTTTTGAGGAATGTAGTTTCCTGGCTGGTTGTCTGCACATCAGCACTTTGTCAATCCTTTTTGGTATTTTATATTTATTATTGGCAAGTTTTTTGAAAGACCTACACACCGGGTATCACTCACGTCTTGATCCATATATTTATTCACATATGTTCTTATTTATTCCAAACCTCTAGCGCTGTGACAACACTTTACACTGACATTTCTACAATTGCTGACATTTGCAGCGCCATCCGCGGTCACTGCGAGCACCCCCCACTACAAGGGACATATCGGTAAGGAGTGCAACAAGGATAGTACTTACAATCCATGTGACAACACTGGACCAAGCAGCATTATCATTAGGGTAGTTCATAGCCCTGTGTAAGCTATGAGCCCAGCAATTAGGAGCTTGCACATGACTTTCTTTCAAAGTTGCGGTAGGAGTATAATTAGTAAGAGTTCTCATCTGAACCTGTTGCTTTGCTCTGCATAGAGCAGTGCAGAAAGAAGTAAGGGAAGGACATGCTGCAGGGGAGGGGGGCACTAGGTTACAAACTGCCACAAATATGAAGGTAGATAAGTCGAATCCCAGACCATCCCCTAGGCTATGTCACGGTCTAGGGACCAGGGCACATGAGCTCCTGTGTTTGCGGAGTTGGTAGGAGTCACAAAGAGGCGGTAGCTGGAGCTATTTCCCAGCAGTACCTGAAGATGATGTCACGAGATGTATTTGTCACAGTTCCTGCAGATGATGTTCCTTGAACCAAGGAACCTATTGTAGCCACAAAGCCACCGTGTTATAAACCTTACTGATATTATGAAATTCCGGTATGTAGAACTGTGATTATATATATTATAACTGACATACTGTATATTTGCTATTTCCCAGTTGGAGGTGACCGGTAACACGGAACGAGACAATAAAGTTCAAAGTCCCGGTTCTACCATGAAGCTGAAGCTGAGAGCAGATCACAAGGCCAGCGTGGGATTGGTAGCTGTAGACAAAGGAGTCTACGTACTGAACAGCAAGCACAAGATGTCCCAGAACAAGGTAGGAACAACCACTCCATTCTAAAAAAACAATAAATGTTAGTCAAACTTGATGATCAAACTTTCTGGTACCTTCAAAATATAAAACATTGAGTAATAGGTGATTGATAGGGGATTAAAGCCAAATTAAATCTGCTGTGGGTCCCCAAAACATTTGCCCTAATGTGCACATTTTCACAGAATAATTACACAATACAGCAAACATATCCTCTATTGGGCCCACACTTCTGCCCTTCCTTCGTTGCTCCATCCGTGGACTGGCCTGGAAGAGGCCAGAGAAGAGGCTGGAAGAGGCTATTCCTGGTGTTCTAGGTCTGGCCTGGAAGAGGCCAGACCTAGAACACCAGGAATAGATAGCAGTATCTATTCCTGGTGTTCTAGGTCTGGCCTCTTCCAGGTCCACCACTGAGCAGCCACTGATGATGATGTAGCTCCTGTGCGTAGAGTTACATAGTCGTGGCATCCCAACTCCATTCATGGCTTCTTACCGATGAAGCAGGAAGTGTACTTTGGTCTAATAAAAAACATGATACACAGTGCATTTTATTGGCAGAAGAGAATGACAAAGTCCCCCCCCAAAAACTGTACCTGTGTTCTATCAAAGTTTGTGACTGCGTTAGAATGTGTGACCGGTCACGTGGTCATACATTTTAACGTAATCACGTCCACTTTTTCGGTGGTGGAATACGTGACCGGCAAAAGGAGAAGAATTCCAACGCTTTCTCAGCTGTTCCAGGGCAGATCGGCATCACAGATCATATGTGCAGGAGAACTGATCTGCCCTGGAACAGCTGATCGGTCCTGAAATGTGACTTTGCGATCTCACATTCCACAAAGTCACATTTCAGGACCGATCAGATGTTGCAGATCGGCTGTCCTGCACATAGGATCTGCGATGCCAATCTGCCCTGGAAGAGCTGAGAAAGCGTTGGAAATGTTCTCCTTTTGCCGGTCACGCATTCCACCGCTGAAAAAGTGGGCGTGATTACGTTAAAATGTGTGACCACGTGACCGGTCACACATTCCAAACCAGTCACAATCTTTGATAGAACACCTGCAAACATTTTTTACATTTTAATTCTAGTTCCGCTTTAAATCTCAGTATAAATTGTGATGTCATAGCCAAATCTATAAATACATTTTGACTTGATTTTGGAAATAAAAGTAATATTGGTGACTTGGAGAATTGCCCTGTCCTTTTCTTTTGTCTCTTCTCCTAATTAGGTGTGGAGCTCGGTGGAGAATTCAGATATTGGCTGTACACCTGGAAGCGGTCTAAATAGCATGTTGGTGTTTTCTGATGCTGGCTTGGCCGTGCAATCCAGTACAAAGGCTACCACTGAGCAGAGATCAGGTGACCAAGGGCTCCCTTTTATTTCTCCTTGTAATGGCTTCACAAGGGACAATGTCTTGATGAGAACGGTGGTCATTGCCTACCCACCTGTCCATCCACGCTGCTTATAACTAACTTTATAACAACTAAACATATCCTGCTAATCTGCAATTCATTGTTTCATTTTCTATTCTCTTCTGCCTTAGAGCCTCAATGTAAGTCTCCTCCAGCCCGGAAAAGGCGATCCACAGCCCAGCTGATCGAAATTAAAAATTCGTATGGTGAGAACAAAAATATTTATACAGGTCCAGTAATTCCATAAAAATGCTAAATGTTGCCTTTTTATCAGAATCCGGGCACAGATCAGAATCTCTGTATCTCATTAATATCCCCTTATATATGTCCCACCATACTTTTATAGCTGCAAGCATTTTCTTTACTGTGCTACAGCCACCACTCAATACCACAGGAATGGTAATCACAAATCTAATGAATGACTGATGATCCCCCCCCCCCCCCACCCCCCGGTTTGTTAAGG